GTCTCAGCAGCCTGCGGTGAATTCCTGGGATGGCCTTTTGAGTTTGGTAGGGAAAGCTCAGGACTGTCCTAAGAAATTTTCTGTTCGTTCCAGCCAGCACCTGATGACAGGCTCCTGATCTCTTTTTAACATTTTTTTATTTATGAACTTTATTTTTATTGTTGACACGATTACGGATGAGTTCAACGTGCTCCTGGTCTCTAAGAGTACTTACTAAAACGGGCTTTCAATTGCGAACCCCTCCTCTGGCCCTCGCAGATGCATGTGTGTCTCCTACACTCCAGGCTTGTCTTGCTCAAGGACCTCAGTGCCACTCCCTTGAAATGCAACGATCGGGAAACACGGGCCTGAGACCCCGTGACGTGGGAGGAAGACCCCTCCCTCCCTAATGCCAGCAGCCGCCGCAGGCTGCGCTCACTCACCACCCGTGTCTGTCATCTGTCACTTCCCTGCATCCACGTGACCCCGCCTCCCCCGTCGCGCCTGCGCAAACCGATGGAGCTCAGCGCTTTCCCGGCGGTTACTGCTGTTTTCCACTGATGTCCGCCGTGGTCTTATCTGACATTGGTAGGTCAGATCCCTAGGCCTGTGAGTCTTAGGAGCTTCTTTTAACAGGGGGTTACCGTAACAAAAGCCAAGGGAAACCCCAACGTGATCCCGCAGAAACCTCAGCGCCGCCCCGGCCGGTGCGGCTCAGTGGGTGGAGCCTTCCTCGCGGACCGAAGGGTCGCGGGTGGGAGTCCGGTCCAGGGCTCAGATCTGGGCTGCAGGCTCCGGCTCCCAGGGCCGGTCGGGGCCGCGCAGGAGGCAACTCATCGACACATGGATGTCTCTCCCTCCCTCCCTTCCTCTCTCTCCAAATGAATTCTCTCTCGGCAAGAATGGCCTCGGGTGAGGATTCACAAACAAAAACACCCTCCCGCCTCCTCTCCAGGTCCTCACAGCTTCGAGCTCCCATGTGACTCCCTATCCCCCACCCTACCCGCTGCTCCCGAGGGCCCTCCCGGAGGTGTCCCTCTCCCAGGAGGCGGGCTCCCCTCGTCTCAGGCCTCTGTCCGTCTGTCTGTCCCCTCCACCTCGGGCTGCCTCCTCGGTGCGCCTTCCGCCCTGACACTCGGACCCACCGGCCTCTCCCCGGCCGCCTCTCTCACGCCCACCTCGGCGTCCTCGGCTGGCGAGGCGCCCCTTCCCCTCCACACGCCTCCGGGGCGGCGGGCGTGGAGAGCGGGAGGACTCGGGCCGCCGGGTCGGCCATTTTGCCCCCTCGGCGCGCGCCGGGCCTCCTCGGGGCCGCGGAGTCGCGGGGCTGAAGGCGGGGCCGCCCCCGCCGCCGGGGCGGGCACTCACCTTCTTGTGAGGCAGGGGCGGGCGTCTACTACTACCGTCCCCCTCCCCGCCAACGCCGCCGGCCGGGAGACAGGCCGAGGTGGAGGTGGCGGAGAGGCCGGGACCGCCGCTGCCGCCACCGCCGCCTCCGCCGCCGAGCAGGCGGGGTAGGAGGAGGAGGAGGCGGAGACCGGGGTTCCGGAGGGGAAGTCGCCGCCACCAGCGGCGGATGACTGGCCGGCGCCGGCGCCATGACGAGGAGCGCGCTACTGCGCCTGCGCCGGTCGCCCCGCCCACACGGCCCTTCGCCCCGCCCACACGGCCCTTCGCCCCGCCCTCCTGTCGCCCCGCCCCCTCGCCCGCCTGTCTGGGGCTCAACTCCCTTATTCCTTAGCAGACTCTCCGCCTCCCCGTTGCCCAGAAGGAGAAGCATGCGGGGCCTCCAATCTGTCAGAGAGTGAATCTAAACCCACCTACAATAAAAGTCTGGAGTCTGCGGGTTCTACTCCAGAGCATCTGAAAACTAGAGCATCTCCTGCTTAATCTTTCTTTCCTTTGCTAGGGCCGTTAGTACATAGAGTAGATTAAACAAAATCCTTGGTCCTGATACGCTGTCATCATTGGCCCATAAATCAATCTCTCTCTCTCTTTCTCTCTCCATTCACCCCTCTCTCTCCCCCTTTCCTTTCCTCTCTGTCAAGTATGTGTATGTAACCATGTATGTACATGAACACATGTAAATCTCACCATCTTATTCCCTAACTCCCAAAGAAATTACTATCCTGTTTGTAGCCATCATTTCCTTACGTATATATGTTTATCACAAATACATGTAGCTTTACAAAGTTTAGATAATTTTTGAATTTCATAAGATTTATGTCTTTCCCTATGCAGTTCTGGGACTTGTTTCACTCAACATGTTGAGGTTCGTCAAGCTGTAGTATATGTGTTATTTATTTGTTTTATTGCTGTACACTGTTCTACCCATTTTAAAAAATATATATTTTATTGATTTTTTACAGAGAGGAAGGGAGAGGGATAGAGAGTTAGAAACATCGATCAGCTGCCTCCTGCACACCCCCTACTGGGGATGTGCCTGCAACCAAGGTACATGCCCTTGACCGGAATCGAACCTGGGACCCTTCAGTCCGCAGGCCGTCGCTCTATCCACTGAGCCAAACTGGTTAAGGCTATTCTACCCATTTCTTGATGGGCATGTCTCCTGGTGCACGGTGCAAGTTACTCTTGGGTATCCTTTCCTGTCACACAGCCACTAATTTCAGCTTCTCATCATCTTGTGTTAGAACCAGGGCAGTAGCTCCTAACAGACACCCCTCCTCTGACTTCACCAGCTCCAATCCACTGCCCGTATAGCTGCCAAAGGGTTCTTTCTAGAAGCCATTACTGGCTCCCATTGTCTGTAGGGGAAGTCAAAAGTGAGTCCTACCAGGCTCCTGTTCACTTCCCTGGCCTCATTTTCTTCCTGTTGCCTCCACTTCCCCACCCTGCTTTCACTTTATGATCCAGCAACCTTTACTGATTCCCGTAAATATCAAGCTATTGTACAAACTCAACTCATTGTATATGCTGCTCTCTCCCTACTTTCTAATGAACGTCTCCTTCCCTCAGAAGTAAATACTATCCTGAATGAAGCATTTCTCATTCCCATGCATTTCTTTAAACTTCTACTACATGTACACAAGTACTTTTTCCTTGATCTTGCCGTTCACAGTGATTTTGAAATGGAGGTGAGGGAGAACTAGGGCAGATGAGGAAAAAACCTTATAGGATTTGTGTTGATATGCAACGTAGCAGGGCCCTGTGTCCCCTTCCCTATTACCAGCCAAAAGACTGATAACAGTGCCAACACCCCTTGCCTCATTGACCTTGGACAAAGATGCTAGATGTCTTGGGAAGCAAGGGATACCCTGATACAGTAAAGAATCTTTGCCCATCCTGCACAGCCTCAAAGATCCAGGTGCTCATTTCAGGATTCTGTTTTATATTCAATCATAGAGTAGCTTTTGTAAAATTTTAAAATTCACAACATTTCCCAGGAATGCAACTTCTTGTTAACTGAAGGAAGATTATACTTTTATTCATTCAGACCTTGACTAAACGCCATTCACCATTTCAGGAAACCATGTCACATACAACAATGTGTGGAATTTGTGTCTCCAGATTCAACCAGCTCTCAACTATCACTGTGATTCTACTTAGGAGCAAACATCTGACTTTATCATATTTCCTAGTGTAGTTGTACCCAAGCATATGCATAATGAGCACACTGACATATTTAATTTACAATGAATATATATTTTATTATAGGATAACTTTCATTATATTTCTCCCTTACTAGGTTAGGTTCGTGTCTTAGTTCATTTGGGTGGCAATAACAAAATACCACAGACTGTGTAACTTATAAACAACAGAAATTTATTTCTCACAGTTCTGGAAGCTGGCTGTCCTAGATCAGGGTGCCAGCATAGTCTGGTGAAGGCCCTTTTCTGGGGTGCAGACTTCTCATCGTGTCCTGGCAATGTGGAGGAGAGGCAGAAATTATCATTCTTGTTTTACAGCTTCTATCTCAAAGTCCTAGTGATAGACTCAGCATTCAAATGCAGATCTGACTCAGAAGCTGGTACTTGAGAAGGACCGCATGCACAGAGATCCAGAGGAGGCCTCCCAGAAATAGATGCATCCCAGAAACCAAAAACACTACGTGGAAGATAAGCTACAGCCCTAGATCCGCAAGGATCTTCCTTTTCAACCTGAGCGAGAGTTGGTACTTTGTTCATTGGAGATTTTAGAATCGTTTCTCCAGTGTCATCACTCCTGGGTAAGAAGCATAGGGCAGGTTGATATTTTCCTGGCAGTAAACACATGTTAAGGGAGATTTGATAGACAGAAATAGGGTGTTTATTTCCAAGGCTTGCCTCCTCTCATATAGCCTGCACCCAGCACCCAGCACCGAGCACACCTGCATGATCAGGTAATTTCCAGACCTCTATCAGGTAATTTCCAGACCTCTATGCCCCAAGTAATGTTGGGGAAGAGAGATGCCCCTGGAGTCTAGCTAGTACTGTTATGTGTCTGCCAAAGGGGTGGCTCAGTGTCTGCCACCCACCTTTAGCTTTCCGAAAGGCAGGGGGACAAGGGGCCACCTCCCTTGAGAAAGTGGAAGCCTGACTGATGCAGGGTCCCAGGGCAGCAGGCATTGCCTTTTCCCCTGGACCCTTTCAGCTGTCTGCTTCGGATTGACAGAGGCATCTGGATGCTAAAAATACCTTAGTGAACAAGTACTCCCTATTCCAACTAAAGCTCAACACCACAGCCATCAGGACTGAGCTTCCTCTTGCAAAAGAGCTTTTCAAGTTTTCCGACCCCATCCCCGAGCCGCAGGAGCCCATGGTCATCTTCCGCTCTGTCAGCTTTGCTGGGTGATGAGTGAGACCCTTCCCACATCACTGTCCTCTTGTCCTTCCCCTCCCTGCCTCCAGGAAAAGGGGCAGAGGGGGAGGTGAGGGCCCAGTGGCCAGGGGGGTGGGGAAGGGGAGGTGGCCTGCCCATTTATAGGCTTGCTCTTTGGGATGCTGAAGGTGCTAAAATAGCAGCGAGGACAAGAGGCTTGGCTCAGTGTTAGGGATCTGCCCCGCTGCCTGAAAGCCTGTGAGATGACAATAGGGAAAATGGAGAACGTGGCGGTCTTCACTTCTGAAGGCAAGGGCAGGGGCCTGAAGGCCACGAAGGAGTTCTGGGCTTCGGACGTCATCTTTGCCGAGCGGGCTTATTCTGCAGTGGTTTTCGACAGGTATGAAATGTGGGGACTTGCCTTCTTTTCTCCTGTTGGTTTGGCTAGTGCCAAACTCTAAAATACTTTGCTCTCAAAATCATCAGGAAAGAGATATAAAACCCATGGGATCATTTGGCACCAAATGGCGTTTCTGTCAGCTATTTGCTGACGTAACTTTTTCTGCAAAGACTCATTGCCAGTGTGGTTTGCTCTGGTCCCTCGGAGGGTTGTAAAAGTGAGCAAGGGCTTTGGGGCACTTCCTTACAACGCCAGTGAACTGGGCTGAGTGGGTGTGCTGGTGTGGTGAGGGTGGAGGGAAAGGAGGGAAGAGCGGGTGTAGTGTTGTGGAAAACACTTTCTCACGGGAGGCTCCTAATCGGGGAGACTTTAAAAAGGAATTGTAGATACATAAGTAACACTGGAACGCATTTATCTTTGAAAAATTAGAATCTCACAAACAAAGCTGGAATCCCTTTTTACCTTTCCCACCCCTAATCCCAGTCCCCTCTATCTTTCCCCAGAGATAATCCCTGTAATGGTTTTAATGTGTTTCCTTCTAATCTAGAATGTTCTTGTATTATAACATACATATATCTGCACTTATCAAAATGTACAGCTGTAGTTTGTCTATTTTTTTTTTTTTTACAGAAATGGTATCATTCTTCAGATGTCATTCTAGAACTTTTTTTCACTGAACATGTTTTTGATACTTATTCTCATGGGAACTATAAGTCTATAGATAATCTTTTAAATCCACAAAGGTCTACGTCTTTTACCCACATGTAGATATCTCCATGTTGACCCATATGCTATCTGGATTAACTGCCGTAAATATTCCACCCTGTAAACATGTGAAACTTTATTTATCCATTCCCCCATTGAAAGACATTTGTGGTTTCCAATTTTTTATAAAAATGAACATTTCTGAGATTAAAACCCTTGCCTATGTCCACTAGTACATGTGTGATGACTCTCCAGGATATATGGCCAGAGGAGGGATTGCTGTGCCCTCAGGTGTGCTGTTACCAGTTTTAACAGGCTCTGCAAAGTGGCTCTGTTAGATTTACATTCCCATTTCCCCACACTCTGTTCACACTTGACCACACACTTTTAAGAGTCTCATCCCCTATTGACAACTAGCGGGGCAACACCTCATACTTTTAAAGTTATACTAAATCTTTATTTTAGCTCTGGCTGGTGTGGCTCAGTTGATTGGGCTTCGGCCTGTACACCGAAAGGTTGCTGGTTTGATTCCTTGTCAGGGCACTTCCTGAGTTATGGGCTTGATCCTCAGTAGGGGGCGTGCAGGAGGCTGCTGATTGATGTTTCACGCTCACATTAATGTTTCTTTCTCTTTCTCCCTCTCCCTTCCTCTCTTTGTAAAAATATTTTTTACATATTTATTTATTTTATTTTTTTAATATATTTTATTGATTTTTTACAGAGAAGAAGGGAGAGGGATAGAGAGTTAGAAACATTGATGGGAGAGAAACATCTATCAGCTGCCTCCTGCACACCTCTCACTGGGGATGTGCCCGCAACCAAGGTACATGCCCTTGACCGGAATCGAACCTGGGACCTTTCAGTCCGCAGGCTGACGCTCTATCCACTGAGCCAAACCGGTTAGGGCTTACATATTTATTTAAAAACGAAAAACAAAAAAACAAAAAACCCACTTACACATTGATTAAACATGACAAACTTCTCTGAACCCAAAGTTGGGGTGACCTGCCTGGCTTTTATGGGGCCTGAATCAGGATGGCCTCTGATAATCTAGGCTTTGAGGTTGGCTCACTGGACTGATCATCCTGAGAATGGACATTGCTTTTCAGACATAATTTGATTACATTTGATTCTGGAGAAATTCATTTTTTCTGCCTACCGAGATTTTCAGGGAAAAGGCAGTGAACATATGGGGCATATGGCTGACCACCATTTGAAGAGTATAAGGGGCTTAGGTGACAGTAGAGCTCTTCAGAGGGAGCTTGTCCTACTTCATTAATTTGTGTGTGTGTGTGTATGTGTTTATCTGTGTGTGTGTATCTGTGTGTGTGTATCTGTGTGTGTGTGTATCTCTGTGTGTGTGTATCTGTGTGTGTGTGTATCTGTGTGTGTGTGTATGTGTGTATCTGTGTGTGTGTATCTCTCTGTGTGTGTGTGTATCTGTGTGTGTATCTGTGTGTGTGTATCTGTGTGTGTGTGTATCTGTGTGTGTGTGTATCTCTCTGTGTGTGTGTATCTGTGTGTGTATCTGTGTGTGTGTGTGTATCTGTGTGTGTGTGTATCTGTGTGTGTATTTGTGTGTGTGTGTGTGTATCTGTGTGTGTGTATCTGTGTGTGTGTATCTGTGTGTGTGTGTGTATCTCTGTGTGTATGTATCTGTGTGTGTGTGTGTGTGTGTGTGTGTGTGTGTGTGTGTGTGTGTTTGTTGGGGATGGAGGTGAGTACAGTGAAGGAGTCAGCTGTATTCAGAATTAGATATAAAAATCTAGAAACACAAAAATTCTGAACAACGATGTTGATGCTGTCATTTTGCCTTCTTTAGCACACCTTCACTGGTGCCTCCAATTCCCCAAAGGAAATATAGACAGTTTCCCTTTCATGAATGTTTGGATTTGAATGAGTTTTCCTTCTTGTATAAAAGTAAAACTTAGGCCCAGCTGGCATGACTCAGTTGAGCATCGACCTATGAACCAGGAAGTCATGGTTTGATTCCTGGTCAAGGGCACATGCCCGGGTTGCTGGCTCGATCCCCAGTGTGGGGCATGCAAGAGGCAGCCGATCAATGATTCTCTCTCATCATTGATGTTTCTATCTCTCCCTCTCTAAAGTAAATAAAAATATATTTTAAAAAATATATCTTTCACATTCTTAACCTTGTTGTTTATTTCCTTCCAGCTTGTTTTATTTATTTTAAAAATTGATTTTTAGAGAGAGTGAAAGGGAGAGGGAGAGAGAGAGACAGAAACATTGATGACCGGCTGCCTCCTGTATGTCCTCCACTGGGGATTGAGCCCGCAACCCAGGCATGTGACTTGACTGGAATCAAACGGGCAACCTCTTGGAGCATGGGACGATGCTCTACCAACTGAGCTACACCTGCTGGCTTCTTCCAGCTTGTTTAAAAAGAGAGGCATCTGTTTTTACTACTCAGCTGGAATCTTATTTTACAAAATATCATGTTTCTTTGTTCATTCAATAATTTAATTATCTTCTGTATCACTAGACACTCTTCACAAGCATAGTATTTAATGGATGGATGCTATCCTCTTTTTTAATGACTGGACAATTAGGCTGTTTACATGTTTTTGTTATTATAAATAACTAATCACTCATTTGAAGTAATAACTACAAAACCAACCTTAGTGGACATCACAGGTAAACTGCTACATAAAATATTATTATTCAATAGTAATAAAAATTAGGATGATTGTGGTAAATAATCTTTAAAATAATTTTTTTAAAATCTAAAAGAGATACTTTTGAAAGGTGTTTTGCCCAAATTTATCAGTGCAAAGGTGAGGGTAGACTCTTTCTTTGGGTATACCTGAGCCAGCCTGGAGAGGTGCACAAGGGTGACTGTGTACATGCGGTCCTCCCTCTCTGTGAGACTTCGCTACTTACTGTAGATGAGAAACCTGACTGAGGAGGTAGGACTGGGTCACCCACAAAAGTCATTCTATAAAAGAGGCCGGCTCGAATCCAGGTGTTAACCTAAAAATAAAAGGCCAAAAGTGAGAGGCAACATGCATCTATTTGAGATTTAAAAAAAAGAAAAGAAAAAAGAATAGCTATTCAGGACACACTGGTTCAGGCAGAAACCCAAATGGTGTTCTGATCAGGAGACAAAAGCAATGGGCATGGATGGGAAATGGAAGGGGAACAATTACATTAATGGAAGGAAGGCATTTTTATTGGTGCAGATAAGCTAACATAGTGACACTAATTCTAAAGAATGTTTGTAATTTTCAGTCTGATAGTCATAATATCTGCTTTCTTGTTATCTCTGCAAACTTTTCTTTGGGATCTAATGTTGCTATAGGCCCAATGCGAAGGCTATTTTGCCCTGTTTCAAAAGATTTTTTAAAAAACAATTTCTTTAAAAAATATATATATATTTTCATTGATTTCAGAGAGGAAGGGAGAGGGAGAGAGAGAGAGAAACATCAATGATGAGAGAAGATCATTGATTGGCTGCCTCCTGCACACCCACTACTGGGGATCGAGCCTGCAATCTGGGCATGTGCCCTGACCAGAAATGGAATTGTGAACTCCTGGTTCATAGGTTGACACCAAACTATTAAACCACACTGGCCGGGTGCATTTATATGATTTATTACACATGTTATTGCAAGCCAGGATTATTTAGTTCATTTTATGTCAAATGGAATGAGAAGATAATCAGTTTTAGTCTTAAGAATGCAGGGAGTTCAGCAAGATTAGATCCTTATCTTTCCTCTGCTTGGTCTTGGAAGGACTCTTCTAGCCTTCTGAAGTAGAACCTCCATCTTTTCCAAACTGTAAAATCAATTAGTTGGTTAGCCCAGTTGACCAACAGACTAAGATTGGGCACTTTTCACAATATTAATAAAATTGAATCATCACTGTCACCATAGTTGTCATTATCTTCAAACAATACCCCAAACCAATAGATACATGGGCAACCTGGAATAGATTCAGAATTGAGCAGGTGAAGGAATTTGAAGCATATTTCAAAGTAACATCAGAGAACTACTCCTAATAGCTATCTACAAATAATGACTGTCACTTGGAAGAAAAAACATTCTGAATTTTCTTTTAATTGATGGAAGGGTGAGAACCAGGCATCTTAAGCAGAAGTTAGAGCAGCCGTGGGCAAACTACGGCCCGTGGGCCGGATCCGGCCCGTTTGAAATGAATAAAACTAAAAAACAAAAAGACCGTACCCTTTTATGTAATGATGTTTACTTTGAATTTATATTAGTTCACACAAACACTCCATCCATGCTTTTGTTCCGGCCCTCCGGTCCAGTTTAAGA